GTTAATGTAGCTTATGTAAAGCAAAGCACTGAAAATGCTTAGATGGATGCAAGCATCCCATAAACATCAAAAGGTTTGGTCCTAGCCTTATAATTAATTGGAGGTAGAATTACACATGCAAACATCCCTAAACCAGTGTCAAATCCCACAGAGTTTATAAACTCTAAGGAGAGGGCATCAAGTACATGCGACATAGCTAAAGACGCCTTGCCAAGCCACACCCCCACGGGACTCAGCAGTGATAAAAATTAAGCAATAAACGAAAGTTTGACTTAGTCATGCCTCTTTAGGGTTGGTAAATTTCGTGCCAGCCACCGCGGTCATACGATTAACCCAAACTAATTATTCTCGGCGTAAAACGTGTTACTGGAACCACAAAAAATAGAATTGAAATCCATCCAATATGTGAAAATTCATCGTTGGACTTAAAATCAGTAACGAAAGTAATTCTAATTCACCTGAGACACGATAGCTAAGACCCAAACTGGGATTAGATACCCCACTATGCTTAGCCCTAAACTTCAACATTTATAAAACAAAAGTATTTGCCTGAGAACTACTAGCCACAGCTTAAAACTCAAAGGACTTGGCGGTACTTTATATCCATCTAGAGGAGCCTGTTCTATAATCGATAAACCCCGCTATACCTCACCACCACTTGCTAATTCAGCCTATATACCGCCATCTTCAGCAAACCCTAAAAAGGAATAAAAGTAAGCAAGAGAATCACCATAAAAACGTTAGGTCAAGGTGTAGCCAATGTGGTGGGAAGCAATGGGCTACATTTTCTTACCAAGAACATTACGCTACCCTTTATGAAACTAAAGGACAAAGGAGGATTTAGTAGTAAATTAAGAATAGAGAGCTTAATTGAATTGAGCAATGAAGTACGCACACACCGCCCGTCACCCTCCTCAAACTAAATAAACGAAACTTATACATAATTGCATCAAACTTTTACGAGAGGAGATAAGTCGTAACAAGGTAAGCATACTGGAAAGTGTGCTTGGAATAACCATGATGTAGCTTAAATCAATAAAGCATCTGGCCTACACCCAGAAGATTTCACAACAAATGGACATCATGAACCAAATCTAGCCCTAACACATACACAACTTAACTACAACACACTCACTAAAACAAAACATTTGACAAAAGAAAGTATTGGAGAAAGAAATCTACCTTAGGAGCTATAGAGAAAGTACCGCAAGGGAAAGATGAAAGATTAATTCAAAGTAAAAACAAGCAAAGATTAAACCTTGTACCTTTTGCATAATGAGTTAACTAGAAAACACCTAACTAAGAGATCTTTAGCTAGGCACCCCGAAACCAAACGAGCTACCTAAGAGCAGTACAAAGAACTAACCCGTCTATGTAGCAAAATAGTGGGACGACTGTTAGGTAGAGGTGAAAAGCCTACCGAGCTTGGTGATAGCTGGTTACCCAACAAAGAATTTCAGTTCAACTTTAAGAATTACCATAAGAAACAGAAATCAAAATGTAATCTTAAAACTTAGCCTAAAGAGGGACAGCTCTTCAGGAATGGAAACAACCTTCAATAGTGAATAAACCCTGATACTCCAAGACCATAGTTGGCCTAAAGGCAGCCATCAATAAAGAAAGCGTTAAAGCTCAACACTAAATAAACCCAAATTCCACAAACCAGAATGAATTCCTATTAACACAATTGGGTTAATCTATTACTATATAGATGAAATACTGTTAACATGAGTAACAAGAACATCGTTCTCCAAGCACAAGCCTATAGCAACCCGGATAACCATTGCTAGTTAACAGCTTCAGGTGAACATATACTAATTAAGCCCACCAACAATCAAACTGTTAACCCAACACAGGTGTGCTACAAGGAAAGATTAAAAGGAGTAAAAGGAACTCGGCAAACAAGAATCCCGCCTGTTTACCAAAAACATCACCTCTAGCATAACTAGTATTAGAGGCACTGCCTGCCCAGTGACTAACGTTAAACGGCCGCGGTATCCTGACCGTGCAAAGGTAGCATAATCACTTGTTCCTTAATTGGGGACTGGAATGAATGGCCACACGAGGATTCAACTGTCTCTTACTCCCAATCAGTGAAATTGACCTTCCCGTGAAGAGGCGGGGATAAAAAAATAAGACGAGAAGACCCTATGGAGCTTTAATTTACTGGCTTACGCCTTCTAACTAACCAACCTAATGGGCCAAATCATAAAGCTCTAAGTCAGTAATTTCGGTTGGGGTGACCTCGGAGCATAAAATAACCTCCGAAAGATTTTATAACTAAGACAAACAAGTCAAAGTAACTATAATCTAATTGACCCAATCTTCCTTTGATCAACGGACCAAGTTACCCTAGGGATAACAGCGCAATCCTATTCAAGAGTTCATATCGACAATTAGGGTTTACGACCTCGATGTTGGATCAGGACATCCCAATGGTGCAGCAGCTATTAATGGTTCGTTTGTTCAACGATTAAAGTCCTACGTGATCTGAGTTCAGACCGGAGCAATCCAGGTCGGTTTCTATCTATTAACTATTTCTCCCAGTACGAAAGGACAAGAGAAATGAGGCCTCCTTTAACAAAGCGCCTCAGAGCTAATATATGAATTTATCTCAATTTAATAAGCTTGTAAAATCAATACCCTAGACAAGGGTTTATTAGGGTGGCAGAGCCCGGAAATTGCGTAAGACTTAAAACCTTGTTCTCAGAGGTTCAAATCCTCTCCCTAATAGTGTATTTTATTAATATCCTAACTCTCCTAGTACCAGTATTAATCGCCATAGCATTCCTCACCCTAGTGGAACGGAAAATCTTAGGCTACATACAACTACGAAAAGGACCAAACATTGTAGGACCATACGGCATCCTACAACCATTCGCAGACGCAATAAAACTATTCATCAAAGAACCCCTGCGACCTTTAGCTACCTCTACTACCCTATTTATCATTGCCCCCACCCTTTCCCTTAGTCTAGCCCTAAGTCTATGAATTCCACTCCCCATACCACACCCCCTAGTAAACCTAAACCTAGGAGTCCTATTTATCCTAGCCACATCAAGCCTATCAGTGTACTCAATCCTGTGATCAGGATGAGCATCCAACTCTAAATACTCCATATTCGGAGCCCTACGAGCAGTAGCACAAACAATTTCATACGAAGTAACAATAGCAATCATTCTCTTATCCGTACTTTTAATAAACGGCTCTTTCTCTATCCAAACCCTTATCTATACCCAAGAACCAATATGACTTCTAATCCCAGCCTGACCACTAGCCATGATATGATTTATCTCAACTCTAGCAGAGACAAACCGAGCCCCCTTTGACCTAACAGAAGGAGAATCAGAGCTAGTCTCAGGATTCAACGTCGAATACGCCGCCGGACCATTCGCACTATTCTTCATAGCCGAATACATAAACATTATTCTCATAAATGCTTTATCAACAATCGTATTTTTAGGCCCATTCCACGACCTATACGACCCCGAACTCTACACCACAAACTTCATATTAAAAACCCTACTCTTAACTACCCTGTTCCTATGAGTCCGAGCCTCCTACCCACGATTCCGATACGACCAACTAATACACCTCCTATGAAAAAATTTCCTTCCTCTAACATTAGCCTTCTGCATATGACACATCTCAATCCCAATCTTCATAGCAAGTATTCCACCCTACACCTAGAAATATGTCTGAAAAAAGAGTTACTTTGATAGAGTAAATCATAGAGGTTTAAACCCTCTTATTTCTAGAACAATAGGAATTGAACCTACACCTGAGAATCCAAAATTCTCCGTGCTACCCATTACACCCCGTTCTAAGTAAGGTCAGCTAATAAAGCTATCGGGCCCATACCCCGAAAATGTTGGTTTAAACCCTTCCCGTACTAATTAACCCAATCACACTCCTAATTATCTACTTCACAATTCTTATAGGACCCATAATTACTATATTTGGCTCCAACCTATTCACTATGTGAATCGGCCTAGAAATAAATCTATTAGCCCTGATTCCACTAATAATAAGCAACTCTAACCCTCGATCCACAGAGGCGGCCACAAAATATTTCCTAACCCAAGCAACCGCCTCCATAATCCTCCTCATATCTATCATCATAAACTTTAAACAACTAGGACTATGAACATTTCAACCAGAAACCAGTAGCTTCATTATAACTATAAGCTTCATTTCGCTAGCAATCAAATTAGGGCTAGCCCCCTTCCACTCATGACTACCTGAAGTCACCCAAGGAATTGAACTAAAAGTAGGCCTAGTCCTACTAACATGACAAAAAATCGCCCCCCTGTCAATTCTATCCCAATTCTATGAACTAATAGACTCCAAAATATTAATCTCATCAGCCATTGCCTCAGTCCTAATTGGAGCCTGAAATGGACTGAACCAAACACAAGTACGAAAAATTATAGCCTATTCATCTATCGCCCACATAGGCTGAATAATCTCTATTCTACCATACAATCCCTCCCTCACAACACTCAACCTACTAATCTACATTATCATAACAATCCCCATATTCTTAGTCTTCCATGCACACTCATTTACATCTATTACCTCCATATCACTTATATGAAACAAAATACCTATAGCAATCCCCATAATCTCATTAATTCTACTGTCAACAGGAGGTCTTCCACCACTTACCGGATTCCTACCAAAATGAGCTATCATCACAGAACTACTAAAAAACAACAACCTAATCCTAGCCACACTAATAGCAATAACCGCCCTAATCAACCTTTTCTTCTATACCCGACTAATCTACTCTACATCCCTAACCACATTCCCAACAAACAACAACTCTAACATATACATTCAACATACCCACACCAAGACCAACAATATCTTACCACCCCTCATAATTTTAAGCACAATATTACTACCCCTATCCCCCTTACTTCTATAGACAGAAGTTTAGGATACCCAGTCCAAGAGCCTTCAAAGCCCTAAGCAAACCTACAAAGTTTAACTTCTGATAAGGACTGCAAGACTACATCTTACATCTAATGAGTGCAAATCAATTGCTTTTATTAAGCTAAATCCTCGACTAGATTGATAGGACTCAAACCTATAAATTTTTAGTTAACAGCTAAACACCCTAAACTGGCTTCAATCTACTTCTCCCGCCTATCAGAAAGGGGGCGGGAGAAGCCTTAGTAGAATCAGTTCTCTACACCTTCGAATTTGCAATTCGATGTGATTATCACCTTAAGGCTTGGTAAAAAGAGGCCTTATCCTCTGTGCTTAGATTTACAGTCTAATGCTTTGCTCAGCCATTTTACCTATGTTCATTAATCGCTGACTATTCTCTACCAACCATAAAGACATCGGGACCTTATATCTCCTATTTGGAGCCTGAGCAGGAATAGTAGGAACAGCCCTAAGCATCCTAATTCGAGCGGAACTCGGACAACCAGGCGCTCTATTAGGCGACGACCAAATTTACAACGTAGTAGTTACAGCCCACGCATTCGTCATAATCTTCTTCATAGTAATACCGATAATAATCGGCGGGTTCGGTAATTGACTAGTCCCACTAATAATCGGAGCCCCTGATATAGCATTTCCCCGAATAAACAATATAAGCTTTTGACTTTTACCCCCATCATTCCTCCTACTCCTAGCCTCATCCATAGTAGAAGCAGGAGCTGGAACAGGATGAACAGTTTACCCGCCACTAGCCGGAAATCTAGCACACGCAGGAACATCCGTAGACCTAACCATTTTCTCCCTTCACCTAGCAGGTGTCTCATCAATCTTAGGCGCTATTAACTTCATCACTACCATTATTAACATAAAACCACCAGCCATAACACAATATCAAACCCCCTTATTTGTATGATCAGTCCTTATTACCGCCGTACTCCTCCTCCTTTCTCTCCCAGTATTAGCCGCAGGTATTACAATACTCCTCACCGACCGAAACCTAAATACCACATTCTTTGATCCAGCCGGAGGCGGTGACCCCATTTTATACCAGCATCTATTTTGATTCTTCGGCCACCCAGAAGTATACATCCTTATTCTTCCAGGCTTCGGAATCATTTCGCACATCGTCACCTACTACTCAGGCAAGAAAGAACCATTTGGTTATATAGGAATAGTATGAGCTATAATATCCATCGGCTTCCTAGGTTTCATCGTATGAGCCCACCATATATTCACAGTAGGACTGGATGTAGACACCCGAGCTTACTTCACATCAGCCACAATAATCATCGCTATTCCAACAGGAGTAAAAGTGTTTAGCTGACTAGCAACCCTTCATGGAGGTAATATCAAATGATCGCCCGCAATATTATGAGCCCTAGGCTTTATTTTCCTATTTACAGTAGGAGGACTTACAGGCATTGTGCTATCCAACTCCTCCCTAGACATTGTTCTTCATGACACATACTATGTAGTAGCACATTTCCACTACGTCCTATCAATAGGCGCTGTCTTCGCTATTATAGCTGGATTTGTCCACTGATTCCCACTATTCACAGGCTACACCCTAGACGACATATGAGCCAAAACCCACTTCGCTATTATGTTTGTAGGAGTTAACATAACATTTTTCCCACAACACTTCCTTGGTCTATCAGGCATGCCACGACGCTACTCCGATTATCCAGACGCTTACACTACATGAAACACAGTTTCATCTATAGGATCGTTCATCTCACTCACAGCAGTACTAATCATAATCTTTATAATCTGAGAAGCCTTTGCTTCAAAACGAGAAGTACTTCACGTAGAACATTCCTCTACAAATCTAGAATGACTTCACGGCTGTCCACCACCATACCACACATTCGAAGAACCTACTTTCGTAAAAGTAAAATAAGAAAGGAAGGATTCGAACCCCCTAAAACTGGTTTCAAGCCAGCATCATAACCTTTATGTCTTTCTCAATGAGATATTAGTAAACAAATTACATAACTTTGTCAAAGTTAAGTTATAGATTAACCTCTATATATCTTATATGGCTTATCCATCTCAACTAGGATTACAAGATGCTTCATCACCTATCATAGAAGAATTAATAAATTTCCATGACCACACACTCATAATCGTCTTTCTCATTAGCTCCCTAGTACTATACATCATCACACTTATGTTGACAACAAAACTGACTCACACCAGTACTATAGACGCACAAGAAGTAGAAACCATTTGAACTATTTTACCCGCAGTCATTCTCATCCTTATTGCCCTCCCATCCCTACGAATCCTTTATATGATAGACGAAATTAATAACCCAGCCCTCACCGTAAAAACTATAGGACACCAATGATATTGAAGCTATGAGTACACAGACTACGAAGACCTTTGCTTCGACTCTTATATGGTCCCAACCTCTGACCTTAAACCAGGAGAACTCCGACTTTTAGAAGTAGATAACCGAGTAGTACTCCCCATAGAACTTCCCATTCGAATATTAATCTCATCCGAAGACGTCCTACACTCATGAGCCGTCCCTTCCCTGGGACTAAAAACAGACGCAATCCCAGGACGGCTTAATCAAGCAACTATTTCATCCAACCGTCCAGGCCTATTCTACGGACAATGCTCGGAAATTTGCGGATCCAACCACAGCTTTATACCCATTGTCCTAGAAATGGTCCCTCTAAAAAACTTTGAAGACTGATCTTTATCAATAATCTAATAACATTGCGAAGCTTAGAGCGTTAACCTTTTAAGTTAAAGATAGAGATGTTAAATCTCCGTAGTGAATGCCACAACTGGACACATCCACATGATTTATCACTGTCTTATCTACCATTATTACACTTTTTACCCTTATACAATTAAAAATTTCACTCCATATCTTCCCACAAACACCATCAGCAAAATCCATTGAACTTATAAAAACAGACAACCCTTGAGAATCAAAATGAACGAAAATCTATTCGCCTCTTTCGTTACCCCAACAATAATAGGCCTTCCTATTGTTATCCTTATCATTATACTCCCACCAATACTTTTAACTTCATCTAAACGACTTATCTCCAACCGATTCCACTCATTCCAACAATGGTTAATTAAACTTATCATTAAACAAATAATACTAATTCACTCTCCTAAAGGACGGACATGATCCCTCATACTAGTATCTCTAATTATATTTATTGGCTCAACAAATTTACTAGGCCTCCTACCCCATACATTTACCCCTACAACACAACTGTCAACTAACCTATGTATAGCTATCCCTCTATGAGCCGGAGCCGTAATCTTAGGCTTCCGCCATAAACTAAAAGCCTCACTAGCCCATTTCTTACCCCAAGGCACCCCAATCTCCCTTATCCCCATACTTATTATCATCGAAACCATTAGCTTATTCATCCAACCCATGGCCTTAGCAGTACGGCTAACAGCCAACATTACTGCAGGACACCTGTTAATTCACCTCATTGGAGGAGCTACACTAGTACTAACAAGCATTAGCCCCCCAACAGCCACAATTACATTTATTATTCTAGCCCTACTGACTATCCTAGAATTCGCAGTAGCCCTAATTCAAGCCTACGTATTCACCCTTCTAGTCAGCCTATATTTACATGATAACACCTAATGACCCACCAAACACACGCATTTCACATAGTTAATCCAAGTCCATGACCTCTCACAGGAGCTTTCTCTGCCCTCCTATTAACCTCTGGCTTAGTAATATGATTCCACTATAATTCAGCCACCCTTCTATCATTAGGCCTATTAGCCAACACCCTAACTATATACCAATGATGACGTGATGTAATCCGAGAAGGGACCTATCAAGGCCACCACACCCCCATTGTACAAAAAGGCCTACGCTACGGAATAATCCTATTTATTGTCTCCGAAGTATTTTTCTTTGCCGGATTCTTCTGAGCCTTCTACCACTCAAGCCTAGTTCCAACTCATGACTTAGGAGGCTGCTGACCTCCAACAGGAATTACACCCCTTAATCCACTAGAAGTCCCTCTCCTCAATACATCAGTTCTACTAGCATCAGGAGTTTCCATTACCTGAGCTCACCACAGCCTAATAGAAGGTAAACGCAACAACATGAACCAGGCCCTACTCATCACAATCCTATTAGGAGTCTATTTTACTATCCTACAAGCCTCTGAATATTTTGAAACCTCCTTTTCCATTTCAGACGGCATTTATGGATCCACCTTCTTTATAGCAACAGGCTTCCATGGTCTACACGTAATCATCGGATCCACCTTCCTAATTATCTGCCTCCTCCGACAACTAAATTTCCACTTCACATCAAAACACCACTTTGGCTTTGAAGCAGCGGCATGATACTGACACTTCGTAGACGTAGTCTGATTATTCCTGTACGTTTCCATTTATTGATGAGGATCATACTTTCTTAGTATAACCAGTACATCTGACTTCCAATCAGTTAGCTCTAGTATAACTCTAGAAGAAAGTAATCAACATAATACTAGTTTTATTAATCAACATTACATTATCGATAATTTTAATTTCCGTAGCTTTCTGACTTCCTCACTTAAATTCATACACAGAAAAAGCAAACCCATATGAATGCGGATTTGACCCCATAAGCTCTGCCCGACTACCTTTCTCAATAAAATTTTTCTTAGTCGCTATTACCTTCTTATTATTCGACCTCGAAATCGCACTACTCCTACCACTACCATGAGCCATACAATTCCCCAACATAAGCCCACCAACCATCATAGCATTTATCCTAATTACAATTCTAGCCGCAGGCCTAGCCTATGAATGAACACAAAAGGGTCTAGAATGAACAGAATAGCTGGTAATTAGTTTAATTAAAATTAATGATTTCGACTCATTAGATTATGATAACCATCATAATTACCAATAAATGACACCTGCAGTAGTTAACATCACTTTAGCCTTCACTTTCTCATTTTTAGGAACCCTTATATTCCGATCGCACCTAATGTCTACCCTACTATGCCTAGAAGGAATAATACTTTCCTTATTTATCCTAGCCACAATTACGCCCCTAAACACACACTCAATAATCATATTCCCTATCCCTATTGTGATCTTAGTATTCGCTGCTTGCGAGGCAGCCGTAGGACTAGCCTTACTGGCAAAAATCTCAAACACCTACGGCTCTGACTTTGTACAAAACCTAAACCTGTTACAATGCTAAAAATTATTTTTCCTTCACTCATACTTCTACCCCTAACTTGACTCTCTAGCAACAAAAAAGTTTGAATTAATGTCACAACCTACAGCCTCCTTATTAATCTAATTTCTATTAGTCTCCTGTGGCAAAATAACGAAAGTAGCCTAAACTTCTCCACTACATTCTCCGCAGACCCCTTATCCGCTCCTCTCCTGGTCTTAACAACCTGACTTCTCCCACTCATACTCCTAGCTAGCCAAAATCACATTAAAAAAGAACATGAACACAACAAAAAACTATACATCTCCCTACTAGTAACCTTACAAATTCTACTTATCATAACATTCTCTGCAAATGAACTTATTATATTTTATGTTCTATTCGAAGCCACTCTTATTCCCACCCTAATCATCATCACACGATGGGGAAACCAAACAGAACGACTGAACGCTGGAATTTATTTCCTATTCTACACCCTCATCGGATCAATTCCACTACTAATTGCCCTCATCTTTATCCAAAACTCAACAGGAACATTAAACTTCATCCTTATATCGCTAAACTACACACCTATAAACCATACATGAGCCAACAACATCCTATGACTAGCATGCATAATAGCCTTCATAATCAAAATACCACTATATGGAGTCCACTTATGACTACCAAAAGCCCATGTAGAAGCCCCAATCGCCGGATCCATGATTCTGGCCGCCATTTTATTAAAACTCGGAGGGTATGGAATAATACGTATCTCCATAATTTTAGACCCGATAACTAAATCAATAGCATATCCATTCATTCTTTTATCACTGTGGGGCATAATTATAACCAGCTCTATCTGCCTACGACAGACAGACCTAAAATCACTCATCGCTTACTCCTCAGTCAGCCACATGGCCCTAGTTATCGCAGCTATCATAATCCAAACACCATGAAGCTTCATAGGAGCTACAGCACTCATAATTGCCCACGGACTTACGTCCTCTCTACTATTCTGCCTAGCCAACACCAACTATGAACGTATCCACAGCCGAACAATAATTATAGCCCGAGGCCTACAAATAGTATTCCCTTTAATGGCCACCTGATGAATTATAGCAAGCCTAGCTAATCTTGCTCTGCCACCAACAATCAACCTAATCGGAGAACTAATAATTACAGTCTCCCTATTCTCTTGATCCAATCCATCAATTATCCTCCTAGGAACCAATATCCTAATTACATCACTATACTCAATCTATATAATTGTGACAACGCAACGAGGTAAACTAGTAAGTCATATAAACAACCTTCAACCCTCACACACACGAGAATCAACACTTATAGCCCTCCATATCCTCCCCCTAATCCTACTAACTATCAACCCCAAACTAATCTTAGGGTTTACAACATGTTAATATAGTTTAATAAAAATACCAGACTGTGAATCTGAAGATAGGATATAAATTTCCTTATTTACCAAGAAAGCATGCAAGAGCTGCTAACTCATGCCCCCGTATTTAAACATACGGCTTTCTTACTTTTATAGGATAGAAGTAATCCGTTGGTCTTAGGAACCAAAAACTTGGTGCAACTCCAAATAAAAGTAATAAACACAATTACATCCTCAATTTTGTTGATCTTTATACTTCTAATATTCCCTATAATCATCTCATTTACCAACCTGACAAAACAAATCAATTTCCCTAATTACGTAACCTCATGTATTAAGTACGCATTTTTCATTAGCCTTATCCCATTATTTTCCTTTTTCAACTATAACACAGAAGTTATAATCACCAACTGGCACTGAATAACCATTGGCTCTATAAAACTGTCACTAAGCCTAAAATTTGACTTCTTTTCTATCATCTTCCTACCAGTGGCCCTATTCGTCACATGATCAATCATAGAATTTTCTATATGATACATACACTCAGATCCCAATCTAGACCGATTCATCAAATATCTTCTCCTATTCCTAATCACCATAGTCATCCTAACCTCAGCCAATAATCTATTCCAACTCTTCATCGGTTGGGAAGGCGTAGGAATTATATCATTCCTGCTAATCGGATGGTGATACGGCCGATCCGACGCAAATACAGCAGCCCTTCAAGCCATTCTATATAACCGTATCGGTGATATCGGCTTTATCCTAGCCATAGCTTGATTCTGCACAAAAGTCAACTCATGAGACCTCCAACAAATTTTTATCACAAACGAACCAAACATTATCCCCCTTTCAGGACTAATTATCGCCGCCACAGGCAAATCAGCCCAATTCGGCTTACACCCATGACTACCATCAGCTATAGAAGGCCCAACCCCAGTATCTGCCCTACTTCACTCAAGCACTATAGTTGTAGCAGGGATTTTCCTATTAATCCGCTTCCACCCCCTAATCTCCAACAACAACACCATTTTAACAATTATACTATGCCTAGGAGCGGTCACCACTCTATTCACAGCAATCTGTGCTCTCACCCAAAATGACATCAAAAAAATCGTAGCATTCTCAACATCAAGCCAACTAGGACTCATAATGGTAACCCTGGGGATTAACCAACCATACCTAGCCTTCCTTCACATCTGCACGCATGCATTTTTCAAAGCCATACTATTTATATGCTCTGGATCCATTATCCACAGCCTGAACGACGAACAAGACATTCGAAAAATAGGCGGACTAGCAAAAGCTATACCATTTACATCCTCATGCTTAACTATCGGCAGCCTAGCCTTAACCGGAACACCCTTCCTCACAGGCTTCTACTCAAAAGATCTAATTATTGAAGCCGCCAACACCTGTTATACCAACGCCTGAGCCCTCTTAATCACACTAGTAGCCACCTCAATAACAGCCATCTACAGCATGCGAATCATCTACTTCGTCCTTATAACCAAACCCCGCTTTCCCTCTACAATTATCATAAACGAAGACAACCCATTACTAATCAACCCAATTAAACGACTTGCATTAGGAAGTATCATAGCGGGGTTTTTCATCTCATATAATATCCCACCTACAACCATCCAAGTAATAACTATACCATGATATCTAAAAACAACAGCACTTATAGTAACTATCACAGGATTCGTAATCGCACTAGACCTAAATAACCTCACCAACAACCTCACACCTACAAAACCTTCACCCACTTCCTCATTCTCGACCTCATTAGGCTACTTCCCAACAATCATACACCGCCTACTCCCCTCAAAATCACTAAACACAAGTTTTAATACAGCCCTTACACTCCTAGACCTTACCTGATTAGAAAAAGCCATCCCAAAAATAATATCCGCAATACACATAATTACCTCTTCCACCCTCAGCAACCAAAAAGGCATGATTAAACTGTATTTCCTTTCATTCCTAATTACACTCCTATCTATCCCAATCGTATTAATAACTTAATTCCCACGAGTAATCTCAATAATAATAAACACCCCTATAAATAAAGTTCAACCAGAAACAACCATTAACCATGCAGAACAACTATACAAAGCAGCCACACCAGCTCCACCCTCACCCATCAACCCTAACTCATCACCATCATAAACCACCCACCCACCTAAACTATTGAACTCTAAAACCATTTCCACACCCTCATAATAATTAGACACAAACAACATTCCCACCCCCATAAAAATACTTATCACCAGAGTCCCCAACACTAATCAACTAGAGACCCACGTCTCAGGATACTCCTCCGCAGACATAGCAGTAGTATAACCAAACACAACCATCATCCCCCCTAAATAAATTAAAAACACCATTAATCCTAAAAAAGACCCACCAAGCCCTAACACCGCTAAACAACCCGAACATCCACTAACAATCAAACATAACCCACCATAAATAGGCGAAGGCTTCAAAGAGGTGCCTAAGCAACCTGTACAAATTAACAAGCTTAAAAAATAAATTAATTCTGTCATAATTCCTACATAGACTTTAACTATGACCAATGACATGAAAAATCATCGTTGTTATTCAACTATAGAAACATCTAATGACAATCATCCGAAAAAAACACCCTCTAATCAAAATCATCAACCACTCATTTATTGACCTCCCCGCCCCATCAAACATCTCATCATGATGAAACTTTGGCTCCTTACTTGGCCTTTGCCTAATCATTCAAATCCTCACAGGACTCTTCCTAGCAATACACTACACATCAGACACATCAACAGCATTCTCATCAGTTACCCACATCTGTCGAGACGTAAACTACGGCTGACTTATCCGCTATATGCATGCAAACGGAGCCTCCATATTCTTCATTTGCCTTTTTCTTCACGTAGGACGAGGCATATACTATGGCTCCTATAACATAATTGAAACCTGAAACATAGGCATTATCTTACTATTCGCTGTAATAGCAACAGCATTCATAGGTTACGTCCTACCATGGGGGCAAATATCCTTCTGAGGAGCCACAGTAATTACAAATCTACTATCAGCTATCCCTTACATCGGCACAACCCTAGTAGAATGAATCTGAGGGGGGTTCTCAGTAGATAAAGCCACTCTCACACGATTCTTCGCATTCCACTTCATCCTGCCTTTCATCATTACAGCCCTCGTTTTCGTCCACTTATTATTCCTACACGAAACAGGATCCAACAACCCAACAGGTCTAAACTCAGACGCGGACAAAATCCCATTCCACCCCTATTATACAATCAAAGATTTTTTAGGGGTCCTTATCTTATTAATAGGTCTCATAATTTTGGTACTATTTTTCCCAGATGTTCTCGGAGACCCAGATAATTACACTCCTGCAAATCCACTCAACACTCCAGCACACATTAAACCAGAATGATATTTTCTCTTCGCCTACGCCATCCTTCGCTCTATCCCTAATAAACTAGGAGGCGTCTTAGCCCTAATCCTATCAATCCTAATCCTAGCCCTTCTACCACTCCTCCATACCTCAAAACAACGCGGACTCACCTTCCGACCAATCACACAAACAATATACTGAATCCTAGTAGCTGACCTACTCATTCTCACATGAATCGGAGGCCAACCAGTAGAATACCCTTTCATCATTATCGGACAAATAGCCTCAATCGCCTATTTCGCCATCATCGTCATTCTCATACCAATAGCAGGCATAATTGAAAACAACATCCTAGACCTAGACTAAATGCCCTGATAGTATAAACATTACACTGGTCTTGTAAACCAGAAATGAAAAACTACTTTTCTCAGGGCATCAAGAAGGAAGGACTCTTCCCCCACCATCAGCACCCAAAGCTGACATTCTATTTAAACTACTTCTTGTACATAAATTTATCTAGTACATAATACATTTATGTATATCGTACATTAAATTATATTCCCCAAGCATATAAGCATGTATTATATATCAATTATATAGGACATTCAATTATTTATCAACATAAAACTCTATTCACCATGACTATCATAATCAACTAAATATTAATGCTTGATAGACATATCTGCGTTATCTTACATACACCATTAAGTCATAAACCTTTCTTGTCCATACGACTATCCCTGTCCCCATTTGGTCTATTAATCTACCATCCTCCGTGAAACCAACAACCCGCCCACCTATGCCCCTCTTCTCGCTCCGGGCCCATTTTAACTTGGGGGTAGCTAATGTGAAACTTTATCAGACATCTGGTTCTTACTTCAGGGCCATTCAATGTTTTATCGTCCATACGTTCCCCTTAAATAAGACATCTCGATGGTACGGGTCTAATCAGCCCATGCCTAACATAACTGTGGTCTCGGGCAGTTGGTATTTTTTAATTTTCGGGATGGTATCACTCAGCATAGCCGTCAAGGCATGAAGGTCAACTTATAGTCTAGCTGGACTTCCTATTAAGTATCATTTATCCCCATCAATACCCCTGCAACAGATTAATTAATGGCTCAGGACATAACACAAGCAGTACTAATAATGCAAATGCTTTTTCCACCTCCCAATCCCCGTAGGCTTATTATCCATGTTTTCTTCGGACATAAATCAATATACTAACAATTATCTCTGCCAAACCCCCCTTACCCCCCTTCCCGAATTTGCCTATCCTTACCAAACCCCAAAAATAAGGGACTCAATATCCGGGTTTCCATCTATTCTGGTAATGCTATCAATACAGCTTAAAATTTAGTACAAAAAAAAAATAATACATAAAACCCCGATACAGAAAAATAACCCAAGACCATTAAAATTTTTAAGTAAAATTTTACTATGTCCGCT